TGCTATCCAAACTCTCACTATTTGCTACCCCAAACTCAGAAACAGACACAGTATATTAAGAAAAATGCAGATCTCAAAATCCAATCTGACTTTCTGAAGAAAGTCAGATATCCAAACTATAGAATCAAGTAGATTTGGGTATTAAGAGGTACCTGTATATGACTCTAAAAGAGCGGCATTCCACTTAATCTAGGAAACTCAACAGTTAAATGACTTGATAAACCTTTCTATCTAAAGAAACAGACTCACAGACATAGAGAATAAACCTATGGTTGCCAGCAGGGAAGGGGGTGGGAAGGGATAAACTGGGAGTTCAAGATTTGCAGATACTGAGTGGTATATAAAACAGATCCACAAGTTTATACTGTACAGCACAGGGAACCATATTCTATATCTTGTAGTAGCTCACGGTGAAAAGGAAAATGAAAATGAATATACGTATGTTCATGTATGACTGAAACATTGTGCTGTGCACCAGAAATTGACTGAACACTGTAAACTGACTATACTTCAATTAAAAAAAAAAAGAATTGGGAAACAGGCTGTGTAGACCACTACACGTTTTCATATAAGGGACTAAGAAAGACAAAGGACAACTCACTGTATGCATGGATACACTGCCTGATGGCAGTCACACATCTTTAGTGATGAGGAGAGGCTCACCGTGCAAGAACGAATGACTAAGTGTCATCCATTACGCATGTCACACCCTTAACACCTTTAGCTTTCCTCCAACGATTCCACGCCATTCAGTCCCTAAGCATGCACAGGCAGGTACAAAAAGGCAGCTGTCCCCTGAATAAAAGACGCAGAAGTTGTGCCATCCAAGAGGTAGCACACTGTGTATTCTAAAAGGGATTAACTGCTCCCATTCCGAACTTTCATCTCCCCGGAACAACTGCCAAGGAAGCAAAACAATACACTTATCTCTCATCTCTAAACCAAAAAAAAAACCAAAACAAAAAAAAAAATACCTTTTACTTCCATGCGGCTGTACTTACATGTTTAGACGTACTAGCACTAATCAGCTAACTGCTTAAGCTGGGCAACCTCACGATACGTATTTATTTAAAATACATATAGTCTTTGACCTCTAAACATCTATCACAGAGAAACAGTTCCACACGTGCACAAAGGGACGTGTGAAAATGAGGATGTCCATCACCTCCCACGGTCCGCCCAGCCTGCCCCCTCAGACCCCCTTGTGAAGCCTTGAGGAAGTGATTTAACTTAAAGCCAAGCAAGAATATTCCTGCATCGTTAATGTTTGGGTTTTCAATGAGAATGCTTGCATATGTAACTTGTAGAACAAACTAAAGTTAAAATTTTTAAAGCCTAAAAAATGTACATTTAACAATTATTTTTTTAAAAGGTGGGGGGAGGGGAGGGACCTGCATTTCTCCCTTCCCTTAAAAACATCTATTTTTCAACAACTGTGAAACAGGAATCAGGCTATAAAAGCAAACATTAAGTAGGCACATACACTGGCCACGTCAACATAATACAAGTAACTCAACAAAGTATGCAGGGTGCACATGACTATATATCGAAAATCCCTTAGAACGAAGCCACCGTTGTTTCAAGGTGGAAATATATTTGTGAAACAAATATACTGCATTTTAAATCCTATCATTTTAGGATAATGATATATTCTAAGTATAGATTAAGTTAATATACTATACAATGTAAAATTTTATTTGTGTTCTTTTTTGACATATATGCAAAAATACATGTACATATTAAATATTTTAAAGGTTAAACACCAAACTGTGGACACGGTGTCACAGAGTCGGCTGAGAAAGCAGTGGAGAACAACACAAAGACAGACAAACTGGCAGTGTTTAATTTTTTGTTACAATAAACATGTAATTCTGATCATTTTTAAAAAGATAAATTCAAATTTATATCTAATATGTCAGTTACTTTTAAATCTGCAGCTAGAAAAAAACTCTTCATTTTTTAACTTCAAGAATATAGTGGAAAACCAAAAATGGCAACAGCGAAGAGCCACCCCTGACATGAAAATGTTTTCATTCCCAACCTCAGATGAGTGAGTCACACCAGCTAGTCTTTACAGAGCCCGCCTAAAGGACACGAAGCCAAGGCACCGGGAAGACTCAAATACACGGAAGAATAAAAAAAGACACCCTAAGTATATAAATGCAAGACTGACTCACTCTACTCTTAAGAAAATTATTTTGCCTTGGTTTCAAATTTTTATTTATTAAATAAGGTAACTATTCAGAATATAATTATTCTATAACACAGAAGACAACAGATTTAAGAATTATTCACATAAGATCATAAAGAAAGTTTACATGTTCTGTATATGAAATGACGTATGAACAACGTTACTTACTGCAGCTTGTAACAGGAAAAGACTGGAAACCACCCTTAAAAGAGGGACAGCAATGCATTTGATGGAATACAAAGCTACTGAAAAAGAGGAAGACACCGTGTACTGACATGAAAAATATTTAAGACCTATTCTAAAATGAAATACACAAAAGGTAGAGAACCACATATATCGCATATGGAGGTCCCCAGAAAAAGAATATTTGAATTTACATGATGAACACTGAACGGACATACAAGCAAACAGTAAAACTGGTTACCTCTGGCCGTAGAAGCAGACTTCTGGATTTACTGGGCTTTTACATTGCTTTGATTTATTTTAACCACGTGAGTACAGAGGTGGACTTAAGTAGGCAATCTTCCAAAAGCCACATGACCTACGTACCTTGGTCCTCATCTACAGAGTATTATGCCCACCTGGAAAACTTGCAGAAGGAGGTGTGACCATGCCAAGCACAGGCGCACAACCACAGAAGAGGCCCGCATGCCACTCAATCTGAATTAGGAAACTATGTAATATCTCTATAAAAATGCTTTCTCATCTACCATATAGCCTTAAAACTAGATTAATTAGCGAAGTCTTGACAATTACAGAAACAAATACCTATTAATTTCCTAATTAAAACTAATGTGAGGATTTAAGATGTGTCCTAAAATAGCATTACGGTTGCAGACGAGAATTATTCACAGGAAATGCATTCCTAAATATCCAGAATGAAATGCCAAGACGAGGCGACTGACTTTCGTAAGGATCTAAAATTGTGTGACTTTAAGAGATTTTCAGATTTTATGATAGGTTATAAATTCAGACACACCTAGAGGGCTTGTTAAAAATTCGGCCTCCCGTGGCCCAACAGTGGAGATGCTGACCCCGTGCTTGAGGTGAAGCCCCGGCGGATCCGTATTTTCAATAACCTCTACGTGATTCCGCTGCACACCAGTCGGAACACCATGTCCTTGACTACGTTACAGACTTAAGTCACACGTGTGCAAATTGCTCTTCAATAGAGGCTGCTTCCTGCCCTTAGTCATTTTAGAAGGCCCTCTCGGGACCAGCCTCACTTCATTCACATTGTTGTAATCCTTCAGAAAAATGGAATGTACCTCC